CCATAGGAAAGCATTATGAATGCCTTCCTATGAGACTGGCTGAATGCGCGCGCAGCTCCTGCCGCGCATGCGCATTCAGCCGAAGAGGAGGAGGAGAGCTCCCCACCCGGCGCTGGAGAAAGAGGTAAGTTTAACCCCTTCCTCTCCCCAGAGCCCGACGGGAGGGGGCACCCTCATGGCACTATAGTGCCAGGAAAACAAGTATGTATTCCTGGCACTATAGTGGTCCTTTAACCCTTTAAGGACCAAGCTTCTGGAATAAAATGGAATCATGACATGTCAGACATTTCACGTGTCCTTAAGGGGTTAACGCAGGTGCCAATTATGGTCATTGGGGGGTGCTGGCCTAATTTTGAAATGTGCATGCGGCTCAATTTATGTTGATTGGGCAACATCCTGATTGTGTGTCAAATTGTATGTAGGCAAGGCATTGCAACACATTCGTTTAACTTCAGTATGGCTGACCCCCAGCACAAAGAGAATGAAACCCACTTAGTTAGTAAAAATATAAAATGTGTTACCGGTCCTTGGAGGTGTCCGGGCTTCACGTACAGCAGAGTAATAATGGCATACTCCATCCAAGACTGAGACTGAAGTTTTTGAGAAACTGCAATAATGACATTGCAGGAGTAAGACTGCCTCTAGTGGCTTTCAATCATACAGCCACTAGAGGCACTGATGGCTAGCGACATTTGGTAGCCTGACGCTGGACGCCCTCACGCTCTGCATGAGGACATCCAACATAGTGAAATCTCCATAGGAAAACATTATGGTAATAATGTTACTATGGGGAGGGGCTAATACGCTCACCGCTCTGCGCATTAGCTCACGCCGCCAGATGACGTTATAGGAGGTGGAGCACCTACCCAGTGCAGAAGGAGATTAGTGCTGGAATTTGGTAAGTGTTAAAAGGTTTTTTTAAACCTTTTCTTTGCTTGGGGGTGCGAGCCAGATGGAACTATAGTGTAAGGTAAGGAATCAAACTTTGTATTCTTTCCCTTTAAGCCTTGTTAATACATTAGTAAGTTTCAATGTCATGCTACGTCATCTGCAAATTAACACTTTACTAAAACAGTTAATTAATTTAAATCCCTGAGCTTAGTCCCAATGTATTTTATGCTCTTGATACTTGGGGGAAGCGTTCTCTATAAAATGGAACGTAGTCCACAATAAAGTAAAATCTACAAGCAGATCACTGAATTTAAAGAAAAAGGAAGGTCTTAGAAATGAATCGTATACACCACAACGTATATAAAAACGGAATAAGATAAAACCTGAGTGAGCAATAGAGAAAATGCTATGACGAAACACAAAACCCCAATAAAAAGTCTTTTTTTTTAACCGAACGCAAACATACCCTTGTCACAAAAATTACAACATGCGCAACTATGGCGAGTATCATGCAGCGAGCCTTAATGATAAATATATACATATAGTTATGTGACGATAAAATTCAAATCCGTATAATCCAGCTGATATAAAGGATAAGCTTGCTGTCTGGTAATAGAAGGGTTAACGGAATGCTCAGCAGTAAAATTGCTCAGCCCTATAATTATTTTGTAACAAAACTTTCACTGTTTGGAGGAGTTGTCTTACTCCCAATGTGAAAAGTTACCTTACTCCCAATTAGAAGAGTCTATCCTCCTGTTAGGAGAATAATTAAAGAATGGTGTATGCTAAGCCTGCCAAGTTAAAATTCCTTTGTGTCTTGTTTTGTTTTTTTTGACCGTTTCGATTGCTTCTCCTCTATTGCAGTTAAGACGTGATCCTATACTTCACTATTCCAACCTCTGATTGATTAATTGGAAAAGGCTTTTCAGAGGGTACTGACTATTTGGCTAACACAACCCCACCCTGTATAACAAGAGGGAAGTGTTCACCACCCAGATATTGAGATATTAAGTACAAGTAAAATGCAGCGACTGCTGCTTGGATCTTTTTTAGAGCCGGCACGGAGGTGTATTTATTGGAATAAGAGGGCTTGGGGCAGGAAACGAAAATATAGTGATAAATATTAAACAGACCACCGACCCTGAGAATGTTATCTAGAATAGTCCTGCATCTCAAACAATGATTTAGGATATTTAAATGTAAAATCACCCAAGTGATGTAGGACAAATGTACGTTAAGACTGCAGGTGAATTAAAGTGCCCAAATACACCCACTCCCCCCACAACTCTCAATATCCTCAGCCAGTTGTGAACAGATATTTGCTGTTGTAAAACAAGAAAAAACAACAAACCACTAAACACAAATAGCTTTATATTATTCAGCAGAAAACACGTATACATTGTACATATTTCAGGAAACATGCCAGCAGCATGCACTGGGCCCCCTGATACTGACTGGCTGCTGATTTGAATGCCATTTTAATTTTTATACTATTGTCATCTGTTATGTAACTGGTGCTGGAGTCAAATGTGGAGGAATTAAATGTGTGCCTTGGAAAAAAAGGCTACGCTAATAGGTAGAAGACTGAGATTTCTGTGAGATTTGCTAGACACAAACAAACAATATGTACTATAATGAAGGATCCACATTATAGCCGTTTATGGCCAAATAGAATATGGAGAGGGTAAATGGTTTTGTTGCTAAATTAAATCTTTGTAAAAGGTCAGTATCAGTTGTGCACTTTGTTTAGTAATAATAAGAAGGGCAAAGCTTAAATCACTCAAGCAATTACAGATAACATTATATAATTTAAGAGGTCCTTTGCCCCCTCCTTACAAATAGGTTTTAGTTCCTTAATTTTATTATCATGTTTGATTTTCCCTGGGACAATAGCCTTAATTGCATCTTTCTATTAGGATACTCAAAGGCCAAGGACAAATGTCACAAAAATAATCCAGTGGTTTTAGCTGCGATCATACTCTTAAATGAGCAATAATTGAGCTAAAGCTATTGTGTCTCCTAATCTGCCCATCTCCTGCTAATCACAGGCCTCCAAATTCAGGAATGAACATGTTGATTGTTTTATCGTATACTTATGCACCTAAGTAATACCTGCAAACAAACCTGTTTTTTCAAGTGTATTCCTTAAAGGAACAGTCCTAGCACCATAACAACTTCAGATTATTGACATTGTCATGGGTTCAAGTGTCCATGAGCCGTCTTACCATCAGGGGTTAAACCATTTTTCACCGGTTAAACCCTGAAGTTGGTTCTCCAGTACCAGACACCAATGCCTCCCTTGGTTCCTTGCTCTCTGCCTCCGCTGTGTGGGGATGGTTTTGCCTTGCGGCCAATGATAGCCCGAGGGTCTCTAAACCTGTTGACAGAAATGGTACAAACGGCTCGTTGAAGTTGTTAAGGAAGTGGGACAGTCTCCATGTTTCTCTATGATATCTGTTTTTAAAATAGACTATAATATTACACTGAAAGTGTTATGCTGGAGTTTGGCGTTACAACCTTTCATTCTGCTACAGAAAGCATAATTAATGACTGGATTGAAAGAGATATATATGAACTAGATTACCTATATTAGTCAAATCTCTGTTTAAACAGGTAGAAAAATCAATTATGGGACTTACAGACTAAATTGCAAATTGAGCACGTGGGAATTTCAGAACAGGTCCAAATAGCAGAGTGTGTAAAAAAAAGTTGTTTGTTTGTTGAATTATTTAAAATTGTCAAAATTCCTCAGCTCAGCTGTTTTGGCTTAAAATCTGTAACTCTGTGGTTAGTTATATAATATTCCTGGTTTAGTTAATAAAAAAGTATTCCTGCTGAATATCCATCACTAAAACTGCCTCAGTGTTAGTCTGGTAGGAAAACAAGATGGCTACCCTGTCATTACAGTTTTGTCTATCTAAATGTATTTATTTTAGTGTAGTGTAGCAGAAGCATTGTCAGGTCTTGGAATAAATAAATATATAAATACATTGCTGTGGAAAATAAAGGAACACTAGAGGCACCCAAACTAATACAGCCTGCTATAGTGATTATGGTGCCAGGAATGCCCTACAGGGACGGCCAGGCACCTGTCACCGCCTCCCGTACAAGGAGCTTCTGTTAGCTCCACTGAGCTAAGCCCATTTGGTCTAGGGATGCACACCACCTCAATGGCAGAGCTTCCAGCTTTATTTTCATATAAAGGTTGAATGCTTAAAATAAAACTATATTTGATTATTAATGGTACACTCCAGGCAGCATACCCATTACAGCTTATTGTAGTAGTTATGGTTCTAGAAGGTTTTAGTGGAAGATGGTTTAGGGATTTCCCTGGATGCCAAGTCCACACCCTCTATGTCATAATGAGAAATTTCACTGCCTCATGAACTACTTAAATATTTGGACAAAATGAGGACACACTGGACGTAATTTAAAAACGTTAAGTGGTTGATTTCACACCTGCCCCCATTTTGCTCCTGATGCGCCACATTGTTATGCGTAAATCAGATACCATAACCTTTATACATGTCGCCTTCCTTTTGGAATGCGCAAAGATTGTCTGAATCCACCACAGGGAGTGGTGGAGAAAAGGCAACAGAAAAATAGGTGCAGTGATGTGCCTTTTTTAATTAAATAACAAGCACCAGAAAAATGGTGAAAACAAACTACTGCATCGCTTTTTATACATGTCCCCCCAAAATTGTTTTGCAGTTCACCTATTTTGACCATAAGTTTGAAATTCACTTTGAATACTCACTGAATAACCCTGTATAAGTGGTGTGCCACCGAAATTCTGTCGAATAATGTGAAATTGTACATTATTCTGAATGAACCTGAGTTTGGGGTGCTAGGGAAATCGAGCAGTTTGTGTGAAACCACTTGAAAACAGTTTGACAAAACTGGAGTAATTGTATTATTATTTATTTTATTCATTTATTTATAAAATATTTTACCAGGAAAGATACATTGAGATTTCTCTCGTTTTCAAGTTAAACTACTACAAAGAGCTGCAGTGTCCCTTTAATGACGTCTGAATTGTGTAGCTTTGCATTGTCAGCTTGGAAATAGGAGGAGGAGAAAGAGGCTTAGGTAGTGACTAGGCCCATCCCGCTTGGTAGGCCAGTCCTTCTATTACAGGTTAAACAAGTTAGCACTTCAGGTGACTACAGCTCAGAACGAAAGGACTTTACAAAGCACTGTCATATCTGATAGGAAAAAGCACTGGACACAGGACATCGGACATCGGTATGTAACCCTGCTTAACATTACTTTCATTTAAAAGTAGCAAAACAAATAGTAGCAAACAACACATCTATGTACCTTTAAGCCTACGTAGACGTATTTCCTAGTTAATGTACATGTGAGGGCAGAACAAAAGTGTCTATCCGAGTGTCAGGGCATTAATGCTAATATTAAGGGGTAAAGAGACTGGCTTGTGTTAGTATGACGTTATCAGAAAGTGACGGTGGTGGTAAATGTCCATGTAACCTATTTCGAAAAGGGCTCACGAATTCCTGTGATCAATCAGCCAATATGTTTACGCAGATCTTTAACCCAACTGGATTTACCACTAAGACCAGTGGTATTTAAATAGTGTAACTCAAGTTCAACTACAACTCCCATGTATCCTTGCCAAGCAAGAACGCAAAAAGTAGCCCGTAAAAATCCACAGGAATAGTAGTTTGTTAGCATAGCAGCCAGGGGTCTTGTATAGGAATACCCTTGGCCCAGAATTAATTTATTAACAGACTAATAAAATTGTGACATTTGTCAATAATAAGGAAACTCTAATATGGTGTGTGTGTGTGTGTGTGTGTGTGTATATATACATACACACACATCTACCATATTAGTGAAAAAGAGGCAATATTTTTTTTTCTCCAAGTAATTGTGTAACAAGAGAAGACGTGTTGGGTGAATATTTACAAATTTGGGATTAAGTGGTTAATGAACCACATCGCAAATCTTACCTGCCTGTCAAGTAACGCTGTTATTTACATTTCCTCTGTAAAACCATTGTTTGGCAGTTGGGGTGAGAGTTGGTTTATTGAACAGAGAATCAATATATTTGCCCAGCTCCCAGAAGTATCAGTTGAGGCTGTAATGGGAAAAAAAGAACACTTATCTAGTGTTATGCTACTTTTAAATTTTAACTTGTATAGTGCTTTATGCTACTTTTAACTTTACCTAACCCTCTCTCACCCAGACACTGTTAAACATAGTCTCACTCTCTAGAACTGTATACATGTTACATAGATCTGTTCTATATTATAGCTGAATTTTGAAGTGAGTTAAATTATTTTTTACTCCGAATGTCGGGAGTGGTGTGACGTAGGACATATTAAGGCGTATGAGGAATTTTGTGAACCTAGTCTTCTCACCTGATGAATATTATTATGGCTTGCATCCAAGGGGTTAACAGACTGAAACTAACAGCCTGTCAGGGTTACTCACTAAATGAGAATACAAAGTGAATTTCAAATAAAAGTTCGTCAGATAACGTTTAACACTTTTTTTTCCCCTCCAAATATTAAAATATCAAATATTAAAACATCTAGATATTAAATGTTGTAATATATATATAAAAGCAAGGCCTATAATTAAATGAATGATTTCTATTTAAAATTACTACTAAAAAGATCGTTTCATAGCTACATAAGAAATTTCACAGGGAAGTGAAACTACAGTTTTGCCTTGATAAATAAAAGGGTGAACATATTATATATTATTTATATAGCGCCAGCAAATTCCGTAGCTTTGTACAACATATCTAAATATGCAAATCCCCCTTCCTCCAGCCTTTTGTCAATAACACAATAATGAAACATTTGAATAAGCAGTGTAACATTAGCAAGTGCATGTTAATTGGAAGGTAAACAAATAATATTCTTTTGAGCAAAGATGTCTGTAAAAGGGGAAAGAATGTGCAATGATTGAGATGTAGCCTCCGAATATTTCCACTTTAAAAAAAAAATCATTTGCCATGAATAATGATAGTTCCCTGTAAGAATTGACTAAACTGACTTTCACACGCATTAAACATATTTTACTCTTTGGAAATATGACTCAGTTTAGGTGTTACTATTTCAATGTCTTGATAAAATATTCCTTCTGCAGCAGCAGGAACTGTCTGGCAGACTGGGGGGAAGAAATTGGTATTTGCACCAACTCTTCTGAGCAATTTAAAGGGACTCTATATAGTCACCCAGACCACTTCAGCTCAATGAAGTGGTCTGGGTGCCAGGTCCCTCAGGTTTTTTTTTTCAATTTGACAATTTTTATTTTGTCTGAACTTGGGGTACAGAAAAAAGAGGGGGGGTTAGAGGGGGAAGGAAAAGCACAATATGCTGGCATGATATGGTATACAGTACATAGATACACAAGTACAAAGATACGATACATAATTACAATGCATAGATACAATACTCCCGTTTCCGCTATGTGTGACACATGGAGCCCTGCTTCTACCCGCCTTAATACTTCAGTTCGGACAAGTTGTCCCTGTTGGAGTTTCCCCTAAGTGGGAGCTTGGTGCCCGATGTCCCTTTGTGTGCGTAAATGTAAATGTAAATGTAAATGTAGGCCTGCTGAGCCTGAGGCTCCGTCCTTCGTGTAGTAACTCATAAGAATGAAAGGGGGGTGGTGTGGGGATTAGTAGGATCTGGCCACCTCTCTTCCCATCAGTCCTTGTGGATATACCAATCCACTCTTAGTCTCAGTGCTTGAGGGTTTTAGGAGTCTGTTGTTTGGTCCCTCAGGTTTTAACCCTTCACACATAAACATAGCAGTTTCAGAGAACCTGCTATGTTTATATAGCAGTGTTAATCCAACCTCTAGTGTCTGTCTTCCTGACAGCCGCTAGAGGCGCATCTGCGACGCTGGATGCGAAATTCGCATCCAAAGTGCAGAACATCCATAGGAAAGCATTGAGAAATGCTTTCATATGGACTGTTTGAATGCGCGTGGCTCTTGCCGCGCATGCACATTCCGCTCCACTCGGGAGCTGACGTCGGCAGGGGGAGGAAAGGTCATCAGCGCTGAGGGAGTCCGGCGCTGGATTAAAGTAAGCTCCTGAAGGGGTTTAACCTTTAACCTTCAGCGTCAAGGGAGGGGGACCCTGAGGGTGGGGGCCCCGCTTTGTTTTCCTGACACAGTGATCCTTTAATTTAGCTGTATAGGCATAACTGTCCAAAGGATCATTTATTCCCCCAGTTGCACTAAGGACAGACAAGATAAGCCAAATACACGTTAGATGTGTACGTTAAAGAACACTATGGTGTCAGGAATACAAATGTATACCTGACACTATAGTTGTAAAAGCGTTGTTTAGGTGTTCAGCCCCCCTGGTGTGCGATTAAAAAGGTATTTTGCTCACCTTATTCAACTAGTCTTGTCACAGCTGGCTCCACCTCCTTGGTTAAGATCATCAAATTTGACAATCTCAGCCAATCCAATGCTTTTTCAAAGGGAAGCTTTGGGAGGCTTTTGTGCTGCACCAATCAGCATCTCTCCATAGAGATGCATTGAAACCAATGCATCTCTATAGGGAATGTTCAGCGCCTGCATGCAAAGTGTGGAGACACTGAACATCAGTGCTGCACAGTGTGCAGCACTGATCCAGGAAACACCTCTAGTGGCCATCTGAGTGACTACTACTAGAGGTATTCCTAGGCAGTAATGTAAACAATGTATTTTCTCATTAAAAAGCCTGCAGAGACATACTATACACACCAGAACAACTACATTAAAGGGACATTATAGGCACCCAGACCACTTCATCTCATTGAAGTGGTCTGGGTACAGTTTCCCTATTGCCCTTAGCCCTGCAATGTAAACATTTTTAGTTTTTGAGAAACTGCAATGTTTACTTGCAGAACTAATACTGCCTCTAGTGGCTGTCTAGCAGATGGCCAGTAGAGACGCTTCCTGCTTGCTAGGCGGCCTTTGGTTGCCTAATTGATGCTGGAAATCCTCACGCTCTGCATGAGGACATCCAGCGTCAATTAAAAGCACATAGGAGGAGGCGGAGCATCCACCCAGCGCCGACGGACATTGGTGCTGAAATTGGGTAAGGCTTGTATTACTAACACTATTAAATTCATTTAAGCTGTTGTTATTCTGGTGACTATATTGTCACTTTTAAATATATCTGGTGTGGTACAAACATCAGTTATCTACCCTACAGGTCCAAATAGGATGCTCTTGCGTAGTATACGCCATATTTAGAAGAAATCCATTGAACTAGTAGAAACCACCACGATTAATTCAAAGATATTATTTGGCAGTTTGCTAATTCCAACTGTTGGGCAGCATTTTGCATCTACTTCCTAAAACCACCCGAGTCTTATAGATAGCTGAGAATACATGGCTAGGTGACACCCTTCAGATATTTAGAACTGTGAGGTAGAGCGAAAAATAGAATGCAAGGTCCTTCTGGCAGAATGTACAGGGGATAACCATTCTCATTTTGAATTCCATTTTCAACTTTGCTTTCACAAGCTCCCATTCTATTTTATACCATTCAGTCTGTCCCCAAGAGCTTGTAATCTATTTAAACCCCAAGGGTGGTCTTCAAGAGCTTTCATTCTATTTTATACCCCACAAACTGTTTGTCTATTTCTCTATCAGCAGTAAAACAAAGCACAACCGTGCTAAAATAATAGTGTCACGTGGTCCTTTAATCACATAATACTCTGTTTATAGATATGAAACACATTGAGGAATGAATGCCATGAATGATATATTTTATTTGTATGCTTCTTGTTCCAATTAAATGTTCAGTATGCCTTGTTAAGCTCGACATTTAGCTAACATTAATACCCACACAGTGGTTTCATCATAAAGGTGTGGTGCTTTAATACGTCTTCCCAGAACTAATAACACCTTTTATATTTTTTAAAGATTAAACAATTTCCTGAATGAGTGGGGTGTGTCGGGATAGGTGTAGGCCTCAGCCATATGAATCCATCAATCATGGTTTGAAGCTTCATAATACACTCAATACACTGGCAGGAAGGACTACGAGCGAGAAAGATGGGTGCTAGTTGGATACTCTCTGACTGAGGGTAATGAGAGTTAAAGTAAACGGGGGTTACAAACTACAAGTGGAGCAATCTCTATGGAAACCAATGGAATGTTTCTGCTGAATAAATTATAAAATTATTTTAAAAAAATAAAAAAATTCCATGGAATTGCTATTTATACATTTTCCAATTTATTTAGAGGTTTTTTTTTTGTCCATCAATTTTTAAAAGATGATGTTGGCATAGTACAGACAGACAAACAGAACCAGCATATATCCGCGTATTAGTATTAGTATTAGTGATTCTGGTAGCTAGATAGATCTAATTTTTATAAAGTAATAAAAGGATTGTCGGTATATCTGGAGTCTGGTAGGGCTTAGAATACCACTCAAAATTAGGCTCACGAGCCCAATTTCAGGCTTGATCTACCAGTTGGCTATAGAAAAACAGAATTTTAAATTACAGCAATCCCGATATATTATTAACTTCTTGATGTATCAGAGGAGCTATAGTGAAGTGCGTCTCTCTGCCCCGCACAATATTCTATGCGTTTTACCAGCAATCATGCATTAAATTTACTCACTAAGCAGTGAAATGTAGTGAATTGAAAGAACAAAATTAAAAAACATAACTGCAAACGTTACCTTTAAATATGTTGGTTGGAAATAAAATTCTGCAGTTAAGTTTCAGTCCCATATTTTATATTTATAAATTTTATACTGAACTTTGAAATTCAGTTTTCATATCATTACAATTCTACTGAGATTTTTGTCCCATTTAGTTTTTTTGAGATTTGCAGCTCTAAGTCTGCCTCCGGTGGCTGTCTTCTAAACAGTCACTGGAGGTGCTTCCTGGATCGTAACGGAACTTTGGTCCGATAAATGACGCTGACTGTCCTCACGCTCTGCTGGAGGCAGAGGGAGCTTTTGTGCCAGGAATACAGCTTTGTATTCCTGGCACTATAGTATCCCTTTAACATATATGAACGGAGCATATATTACCAGTGGTAACAGGCATGATTTGATTGGAGAAATAGAGGGTCAGCTGTTTTCCGAGACTAGAAACTGATAGGATATTTGATGTGTTCTGTGTGGTTGTTCTATGGCTGCAATGTTCCTTGTTGTATTAGAGCTGAAATGAACACTCCAAGCACTATAACCACTACAGTACAGCGCCCTGTGTCCTGGTACCCCTTCAGTGTAAGTAGTCAAATTAAATAAGTAAGATTTGATAGTTTACCTTGTGTCTGCCTGACGCCCACAACCGCCTCCTCTGCAGTCATGAGTTACTGCAGTGAGTTAAACGCAACTGAGCAGGGCTGTGCTTATTGGCTGAGAGTGCGTGCTAGGTCTTAGTTAAGTGGAGCTTATGGTATCTTCAAACAGAAGCTCGCAGCTACATGGGAGGCACTAATGGGCACCCAGCGAACCTCAGGTAAATGGTTAAACAATTCTTAAAAGTTTTGACTACTAGTCTGCGGAGGGCAGTAGTAGTTATGGTAATTTAAATGTTTATTTGAGAAATACATTTCTGAAACTGGACATTATAGAAGGTGTGGGAGATGGACTGAGCATATTGCCCATGTAGTGTGATGTGGTTTGTAGTGTATTGCCAAGAGGGTGCGAGGAGCAGCAGTGAGTTTGCTGCTCAGGTAGTGTGTGTTATAGGAGGTGTGAGGAGCTGCAGTGAGTTTGCTGCTCAGGTAGTGTGGGTTATAGGGGGTGTGAGGAGTTGCAGTGAGTATGCTGCTCAGGTAGTGTGGGTTATAGGAGGTGTGGAGAGATGCGGTGAATATGATGCTCAGGTAGTGTGTGTTATAGGAGGTGTGGGAAGCTGGAGTGAGTGTGCTGCTCAGGTAGTGTGGGTTATAGGAGGTGTGGGAGCTGCAGTGAGTGTGCTGAAGCAGCTGAGTGTGCTGCTCAGGTAGTGTGGGTTATAGGAGGTGTGGGAGCTGAGTGAGTGTGCTGCTCAGGTAGTGTGGGTTATAGGAGTGATGCAGTGTGCTGCTCAGGTAGTGTGGGTTATAGGAGGTGTGGGGAGCTGCAGTGAGTGTGCTGCTCAGGTAGTGTGGGTTATAGGAGGTGGGGAGCTGCAGTGAGTGTGCTGCTCAGGTAGTGTGGGTTATAGGAGGTGTGGGAGCTGCAGTGAGTGTGCTGCTCAGGTAGTGTGTGTTATAGGAGGTGTGGGAAGCTGGAGTGAGTGTGCTGCTCAGGTAGTGTGGGTTATAGGAGGTGTGGGGAGATGCAGTGAGTGTGCTGCTCAGGTAGTGTGGGTTATAGGAGGTGTGGGGAGCTGCAGTGAGTGTGCTGTTCAGGTAGTGACGGTTATAGGAGGTGTGAGGATCTGCAGTGAGTTTGCTGCTCAGGAAGTGTGGGTTATAGGGGGTGTGAGGAGTTGCAGTGAGCGTGCTGCTCAGGAAGTGTGGGTTATAGGGGGTGTGAGGAGTTGCAGTGAGCGTGCTGCTCAGGTAGTGTGGGTTATAGGAGGTGTGAGGAGCTGCAGTGAGTGTGCTGCTCAGGTAGTGTGGGTTATAGGAGGTGTGGAGAGATGCGGTGAATATGCTGCTCAGGTAGTGTGGGTTATAGGAGGTGTGGGGAGCTGCAGTGAGTGTGCTGCTCAGGTAGTGTGGGTTATAAGAGGTGTGGAGAGATGTGGTGAAAATGCTGCTCAGGTAGTGTGGGTTATAGGAGGTGTGGGGAGATGTAGTGAGCGTGCTGCTCAGGTAGTGTGGGTTATAGGAGGTGTGGGGAGCTGCAGTGAGTGTGCTGCTCAGGTAGTGTGGGTTATAGGAGGTGTGGGGAGCTGCAGTGAGTGTGCTGCTCAGGTAGTGTGGGTTATAGGAGGTGTGGGGAGCTGTAGTGAGTGTTCTGCTCAGGTAGTGTGGGTTATAGGGGGTGTGGGGAGATACAGTGAGCGTGCTGCTCAGGTAGTGTGGGTTATAGGAGGTGTGGGGAGCTGCAGTAACGTGCTGCTCTGGTAAGGGTACTATTCACTGAATGGTAACCTTACTGCAGGCAAAGGTAAAGCCACAGTAAGGTTCACAATTCACTTTATTAACCCATTTGGCTATTTAGACAAACTTGGTTATTTAAATAGAATTTGTACTTCCATTGCAACTGAATTGTAGATAAACTGCATTCACTTGGTTGTTCCAATTCCTCTAATACAGACCAGGGGAATTGCCTCCCCAATCCTACATCTTATTAATTCTATTCCAAATTCCCCTTAAAGGGACACTTTAGGCACCCAGACGATTTCAGCTCATTAAAGTAGTCTGGGTGCATATTTCCAGGTCCCTTTAACCAGCAAAGGTAATTATTGCAGTTTTTAAGAAACTGCAATAATTACCTGTTCAGGTTTACTCCACCTCTAGTGGCTGTCTACCAGGCAGCCAATAGAGGGACTTGAGGGTAGTTAGGCGACTTTTGGTCTCCTAACCGACACTGGTCATACTCACGCTATGCATGACGACATCCAGCGTCACCCAAATCTCCATTAGAAAGCATTGTATAATAAGTGCGAGCGCTCCCACTGCTACACATGCGTATTCAGTTTCCCCCACCAGCTGACGTCGGCGAGGGAGCAGCGGAGGTGGACCCAAACCTTGTCTCTTACACTAGTGGAATTGTTTAGTTGTCTGTAACACAGAAATTCCACTTCAATTTGGCAGAGCTATATTAAAATTAATCTCAATGCAGCAATGAGAGCCATTTGAACATAGCAGGGTTTCATTCAGTTCAATTTGGTTAGATTTCACTCTTATAACGAGGAGGCTTGCATGAGAGGTCCCCGAGTTGGATGGATGTGGTCTATATTACGCTCCTAACTGATCACCCTATATTGTTGCTCTGGTGTTCCACTTCTCTGAAACACTTGAGCCACTAGAGGTGCTTCCGTGAGTTTACCGAACTCTAGGTCACCTAACTGACGCTGGACGTCCTCACGCTCTACATGAGAACATCCAGTGTCTGTAAAATCCCAGTTGGAAAGCACTGATTCAGTGCTTTCTTATGGGTAGGACCGCCAGTCGGATGATGTCGGAGGAAGCTGAGCACTGACCCAACGCCAGGGGAGATTGTCGCTGCAATTGGGTGAGTAAATAAATTTTTAACACTTAATATGACAAGGGGGGCTGCAAGGGAGGGCGGGACCAGTGGGCACTATGGTGTTAGAAATACAACTTTGTTTATGTACGTTACATCTCCAGTCTGATATATGATTTCTGGTTTGTTTGTTTTTTGCCTGATGAGATTCCACTTGAATCAATCACTATACTAGCATACGCATTGTTGCTGCTTATTTAATTAGTTGTTCATCCATTAATTCCTATTCCATTTATTTAATCAGTAGGTGAAATGCAAAGAAGATAACAGAACAGGGAATGACTGAGACCTGTAAATTGGTCACTCACAATAGCTGGTTTCTACAATTTAGAGAAAACATCTACAGTTTCACATGGTTGCTCCAGATTACTCCCAAAAAACAGAGAATATGGAAAAGAAAGCATTAGAAACCGTAATTGGTGCTGGAGTGTCCACCCAACCAAACATGAGTTTAGCTGAGGCAAATTTGACCATGCCTTCAGATGAACCTTCGTCACCTGCACCGAGACTTCCAAGACGAAGTGCTTCAGGCAAAGCACATCCTCAAACTTCTGGAAAGTTGGAGACACCAGACCTTCAAAAGAAGTCAAAGACAGCTGGCTTTTGTGATGTTGATTTGGCGATAGAACCTGAACCAAAGGGTCTAGAAGGTGTAAGAAATACAGATTTAATTGAGATGGAATGTGAGCTTGAACCTCAGAAGAAAAACAAACATTTTACAAATGGTTTTGCAGACAGTACAGAAGAACTCATACTTTGTGATAACGAACAATATAAAACTGGGCGTGGTGGCCAAGTAATGCAACTGGTGAATCTCAAGAACACCAGTGATGAACACTGCAGGAAAAATTATGGTGGCACTTGCCTTTGCCAAGAATGTGTACAAAACTATTGTGCTAATAACGTCCAACAACCAGAGAAGAAAGAGGGTGAAAAAGCTGTGGACTTATCGTGCACAGACAATGACTCTTTGAAGTCTGACATGGACAGGAGTAGAAGTGGCTCAGAGAGGTCAAAGTGCGCTAACTCATCAGAAGGAGAAAATATGAGTAGCAAGTATGAAGACACCCAGGTAACTTTGCTCTATCCTGATAAGAGCAAGCCGCCCGACAGTATCACAAGACTGAGCAATGCAGGACTCTATGAGCCCAGTGAAGACCAAACAAAAATGAGTGAGACAAAGAACTGTGAAGAAAAGCAAGATGTTGGTCCACAAACTGTGTACCCTAATGTCTGTGTCCAACGTCAGTGTTCAGAGAACAACACTAAGCAGTTCCACTGTGTAAAGGTGGATGTTGACAAAGGAGAACATGAGCAAGTGCCATTACTGGAATCCCAACAATCTACAGTGGAAACCATTTACAATGGACAAGATTGTTTCAAGTGCAAGAGCAGCTGTGTGAAAATTGTGGTGTCCTTCCTTATCTCCGTTCTTATTTTCCCAGCTTTCCTCTATGTGACATACCGTTGGCTGCCTTTTGATGCCCCAAAGATGCCAGACATTCCCACAAGGCTAGTCTACACTTTGCGGTGTGGAGCTTTTGCCTCTTTTCCCATTGTTTTGGGTAAGCATCAATTATAAAACAAAATGTTTTTGGGAATTCAGATTCCTTGTCCCAGGACCAACATGGTTTGTTAATTTCATATACTGAGTTAGTACATAACTAATACTTAATTCAACTTAATTTAAAACACAGGTTTTCTGAGTCAGTCTATCACACGATAAATACTTTAAATGCTTGCTTAAATGGACACTATAGTCACCCAGACCACTTCAGCTCAATGAAGTGGTCTGGGTGCCAGGTCCCCCAGGTTTTAACCCTTCAGTTGTAAACATAGCAGTTTCAGAGAAACTGCTATGTTTACATTGCAGGGTTAATCCAACCTCTAGTGGCTGTCTTCCTGACAGCCGCTAGAGGCGCTTCTGCGACGCTGGATGCGAAATTCGCATCTAGCGTGCAGAACGTCCAAAGGAAAGCATTGAGAAATGCTTTCCTATGGACTGTTTGAATGCTCGCGCATTCCGCTCCACTCGGGAGCTGATTTCGGCGGGGAAGAGAGGTCACCAGCACTGAGGGAGCCTGGAGCTGGATAAAGGTAAGTGGCTGAAGGGGTTTTAGCCCCTTAAGCGCCAAGGGAGGGGGACCCTGAGGGTGGGGGGGTCCCAAGGATGCTATAGTGTCAGGAAAATGATTTTGTTTTCCTGACACTATAGTGATACTTTAAAGAGCATGTTGACTTCTACGCATGGTGGACTCATTATGTGAGGGCATTTGCCAGTAAAGGCAAAAGCGCAATATCACCATAGCAGCCCAGACATCATGACCAACAAGTGAAAAGGTGGCGAGATAAAATGCCAAGAATGGTAATTGTAAAGCATAGCTTTGTTTTTTTTAAAGTTGCTTCTTTCTTTTTAGGTGTTATGATCCACGGAATATCTCGAACCTGCGTCTCCTCCTTTGATCCATTTAAACCACAAGAGAGGGAAGTGAAAATCCACCGTCGTTTTGTGAAGCAGAGCACCTTTCTGTTTGTTCTATACTTCTTTAACCTGTCTGTCTTGGCCACGTATCTTCCTCAGGATTATCTGAAGTGTATTCCACTCCTGACTGGCCTCTTTGCTCTGTCTCAGTAAGTGATGTGTTTATGGATACTCTAGTTAGACAAGGGTCCAGATGTATTTTTATAGACGTGTCCAGCACTGAAGGTACACTCTAAGAACCAAAAACAATACTCTTAATGTACTGGTGTTGGTGCATAAATGCTGTCCCTTTTTCTCTAACCATGTTTCTGAGAAACTGCAATGCTTACATTTGGTTTAGCCAGATGGCCACATGAAAACTTCCTTCTTCAGATCTTTAGATTTTCATAGGACTTCATGTTTGATGTTATCACACACAGCAGGATGAGGCTGAACATGGCTGAAATTGGGTAGTGGTCATCAATTCTGGTGACTTCACTGTGCCGCAGAGAAACATGTCATGGCACCAAAACCACTACAGCGCATTGTAAAGATTACATGGCATAGCACCGTTTAGTAACCTCTTGACTTCTTACCTTGGGTCCACTGCGTGCTACTCCACACCTCCTCTCTGCCAGGAAAGCAGGAAGTTCTAGTGCAGGGCAAGCTCATTTGCTGAGGGGCAGGTAACCTTCGCGAACTCTATATGTTGTGGACTACATCTCCCTTGATGCTTTTCAGCATTATGGCTGTAAGAGCCCTATGGGAGATGTATTTCAAAACATCTGAAATGCCACATTTTGCCTAACCTGGACTCCAAGCATCAGTTGATTGCTCTTTGTCAATGAGCTAGGCCCTGTACTGCTGGTTTAGTTCAATGAAGAAAGTTTCCAGCATAGACGAGATGTGGTTTGGCCACTGGTAGACCGCATGTAAGTAGCCAAACCTTTACTAAATGGTTTGACTCTTTACATTTGGGCTCCTATCTACTTGAGAAATAGTGGCCATGGTGCTTGAAGTGTCCCTTTAAAGGTGTTTTGATGTTGAGATCTTCCAAAGCAGGTCAACAAAGCCTGGTGTTCACTTTATATGTTCTCAAAATCAGCTTGCTATTGTGAAGTATCGCTGTACACCCCATCATTTTGACCACACTGATGCATATTAACAAAATACTGAATCTTTTATAGAAATTTTATGTAAAAGCAGATGTTTTAATAATTCCTTCTAATGGGTTTTATTTCCAGTTATTTTGTACGTGTCTGCTACTTAAATATCTGTGACTCATGCCTGCTTCCTCTCTGATTAGAAACTTCATCTGGATCTCATTTCATGTTTGGACATAACTTGCATGGAGGGCACACCATGCAAAAACTGTCAATAATCAAGCACATACAACGAAATAATAAATTAATAAACAAGGGAAAGGTGCTCTCACAACCCCCGGTGCCCACAGGGTTAATCAAAGAGGAACAAGCTGTATAAAAAAAATAAACCTTTATTACAATCCTGCTAAGATAGCTATATATCTATCTATGTATCTATCAGGCATGGAAGAAAATGGAAACCAGTTGCATATCAAAAACACTGGCTAAACCACTTTATGAGAAGGAACGGCTGGCACCAAAATGAATACCCCCACCCTCTTTTGGCCACGAGTCTTTCTTCTGGTTATCAGAAAATTACATGCTCCACACCTAAAAGACATGTGCTATGATTTCATGTGAAAGCTGATTGTTTGAAGCTGTGATTGGTTGAGGAGCAACCAATGCCCTCCAATTTTCTTGGAATTCCCCATTCCTCCAACAAGCCAGTTGTCCTATGTAATATTATAATGCAATCTGTTAACTCTCTATTTCCCCATGGAATTGGCCATACTGGAAAACCAATAATCCTGCCATCAAATTACCGTCAAAATCCACAAAGCTTTGTGAGTGACTACATAGTGAACACCCGGTAATGCCACAGTTAGAGGTGCATCATGGCACAGCAGGAAAGACTCGCAATCCCCAAAATCAATAACAAAAAAAAAATAGATTTACAAATAAACACTATACCTTTTCTATAGGGTTGGAGATGAATATGAGAGGATATCTATTTTTTCATGATAAATTGAATTTTAGGGGTAGTGATGTCCCGAACTGTTCGCCGAACGGTTCGCCGCGGACGGCGAACATATGCGGTAAACTTTGACCCTGTACCTCACAGTCAGCAGACACATTCCAGCCAATCAGCAGCAGACCCTCCCTCCCAGACCCTGCCACCTCCTGGACAGCATCCATTTTGAAGCTGCATTCTTAGTGAGCTGTCCAGGAGGTGGGAGGGTCTGGGAGGGAGGGTCTGCTGCTGATTGGCTGGAATGTGTCTGCTGACTGTGAGGTACAGGGTCAAAGTTTACTGCATATGTTCGCCGTCCGCGGCAAACCGTTCGGCGAACAGTTCGGGACATCGCTATTTAGGGGACAAAATGTTAAAGAAAAAAACTATTCAAAAAGTTATATTTGTAAATTGACAATTTTATCATCAGCGATGCCTTACATTCCTTATTTTGTACCATTTTTCAGGCTGATTTACTGGTTGTCCTTCGCGGTGGGAAGATCGTTCCGGGGTTTTGGATACGGCATGACCTTTTTGCCAATGCTGGTAATGATGCTGTGTAACCTATACTTCATGTTCATTGTGGAGCCAGAGAAAATGCTTTTCTACGGGGCACCAAAGGAGTCCACCAAAACTGGACAAAATAAGTGAACTTGGCCAGAGAAAAACCTCTAGTTTAATTTTGGAATGCGTGACACTTGTTAAATTACATATGATAACTGAGCTAGCCATAAAAAAAAACTCTTCTCTCATGCCACAATCACAGACACCTGCACTTCAAGCTGTGATTGGTTGAGGAGCATCATGAAGACTTGCCTTCCATCTTTGTTCTTGGAATTTCCCGTTCCCCCAACAAGCTGGTTATCCTATGCATATAATCGTGCAATCTGTTAACTCTGTCTCTGCCCCATGGAATTAGCCACACTGGAAAATCTGGAAATTAAACTACAGAAATCACAGCGTTACATCCTTCCGCAAACCAGGTATTTGTACAAATTATTTATAGTATAAGGAAGAGCGAGATCTGTTCTGTGATTAAAGCCTCTTTTCTTTGTACAAAAAAGTGAGATATTTATGTTGTAAATAAAATTATTTTTATCTCTGAAATGTATGCCTACTCTTTCATGCTGAGCTGCTAATAATCTATATTGGGGTCTGTGGGCATTCATTAACCCTATATATATTTAACGTGACTTGTGATTTTTAAGAAGTGACTATAACGCTCACCAATATGTTCACTAAAGTGTGAATTCTCAGGAAGTAAAGGGACATTCCACTGCCCAAAATAAAATATATGTATATATATTCATTTATATATTTTAGTGACAGATTAGTTGGAGGGGTGGATTGAGTAGTCTACTTTTTTCCTGTTTGGCCTACAATATGCAAATCCCCCCGCCAGTTTCTGAAAATTTTAATAATTCTGGAAGAAAAGATGGGATTATTCACTGAACCAAGGACCGAAGATCTACAAGGAAATATGAAATTTTTGTTTCATCAGAACATGTTCTGAAAAGTTTAGGCAATTTCCTTAGAAACCATTGGAATAGTCAAGCACATTTCTTTGGTGACTACTCGCTCAACTATTACCACTTTGCATCACTTTTTGGAGCACATTACTTTGGTAAGGAGAGAAGCACCCTAACAAGCTGGAAATGTGGTAGTAGATGTGGTTTTATACCTTAGCTTTGTAGCCAGAAACATGAACAATTATCTGTGATGTCTTAATAGATAAACAGTTACATATCAAAAAAAATATGTTAAAAGAGAACAGCGACTTACTTCAAACAGAATTATTTTTGAAGGCCAGGGTATCAAATGGTGTTCTTTAATAATGTCGTAAGATACTACACAGACAATAAATTAGGCCGATTAATAATTATGTGCATTCAGGAATGGCATGAGCCAACTGTTAAAACCTTACTAATGTTCATGCCAAATTAATTCAACAGTAGCTATGTTAAATTGAATGGTGAGTCAAGTAGGTACAGATGTGAATGGAGAAAATTATACAGGAAGTGCAATATGAGTCGGAGGCTGATTAACGACAGTATTTTGTGCAATTTAGGCCAGGATATAATTACAGCTCACAAGTAAAGGCACATAAAGTTTTGTTAACCTCATGTTCGGTCCACATTGGAAGAAATAGCACTGTAGCAGAAAATGGTATTGTGGATCCCTTAGGAGCGGTCGGGCATAAACCTAAAAAACCCTCAAGGATGGTTAAAAAAAGCACCTGGCAGAAGGTCCTTTGCATTAACGTAGTCAAATCGAGGTCTAGGATATCACAAAGCAGAAACAAAATCTAATTAGAGGACCAAAGATAACAACAAAGTAAAATCAATGCACATTAGTCATAGGAAACTTCTCAACAGCGACAGAAGCTTGCAAGTGTATAGTGGCAAGAAAGTGCAGAGTTTTTGTAAATTTAGGCTTAATTCCAGATGTTTTGTATGTACTATGGATCATGGCAAGTGTGCCTTTGGTTGTTATCTGAGGGCATGCAGTATCACCGGTGGACACTTTGTGCAATGTGGTGTAGGTTGAGAAGGGGCAGTAAATAAGGGTCTGGCATCACCATAGTGGCAGCCAAGTCTCCTAGGGTCCACCATGGTGATGCCATTGAGAGTGCCTATAACACAGGTATCAAAACAGGGAGTTACAGAACAGGTCATGAGCCCATTCACAAGCTGCCTGATTACTTTTTCTGTGAAATGCATGACTTACTGAATTTTAGGACTTTATCTTTTTGACTTTAAGAACCACACACACTGATAGCACCTTAAGGTTTGATATGATCTTTACTTACGTCATTGGCCCTTAAGGAGTTATAGCAATGTTACCGCCCATGTAAAACATTCTACTAATGTCCTATATTCAGAGTGGAAGACATAACACTCTAAGCATGTT